CATCCGAGTAGCAATGAGCTCACCCAGCAGCACCAAGATCTTGTTTCTAATAATATTCTCCATTAAAAGTAATCAGGACTCCTTAGAAAAATGACTGATCTGAGGAGTAGGCAGGAAATATGTAAAATGAGCCTGGAGCATCTTGCAGTCCTAAAAAAAAATAAGTGCTCAAAACAAAAATAAACAACAACAAAAAAAACCAAACCCACAATAAGGGACATGTCAAAGGGACACAGAAAACCAAATGACAGCTCACAATGGACACAGTTGAAACAACTTTAGCAGAAAATTAAGTAGTATTAGACTATATAACCCAGAGTATAAACTAAATTCATGAGTCCATACTAATATAAATAAACCATTAAATAAATAAATAAGAGAGGAGAGACAAATCTAGGGTGCAAAAGAATTCCAAATAAATGATGTAGATATTTCCCCTTACAGAGGTAGCGCAACCTCTCCACTCCTCAAATATGGACTCCACGTAATGACTTCCTTTCAAAGACTACAGTATGGAAAGGGGGGAGAGGGTAGAGAGTTACTTCATAGTACTGAAACATGACAAACACTACCTCAGCCAAGTGATCAAGGTTCACATCAACAATGATAAATCATGTTGATAGTATGGCCTTTGATATGCTGTGATGAAAATGGCACTTTATCTCTGCGGTTTTTCTCTCAAAAACTCGGTAACCCTAACCTCATCATGAGAAACTCATCAGAAAAATCCCACTGGAGGACTTCTACAAAACACCTGAAAATTATATTTCAAAACATAAAATAAAAACATGAAAAGTCTGAGACACCGTCACAGCCAAAAAGAGGCTAAGGATGATGGTCATGAAATGTAATACGGTATCCCGATAGCTCTCTTGGAACAGAAAACGAACATTAGCTAAAAATTAAGGAAATGGGAAGAAGTATGGACTTCTGTTAATCAACATATATTAATTTTGGTTCATTAATTGTAAAAACTATACTAGACAAATGTAGGATGTTAACAGTAGGGAAAACTGACTTAAGGAGTTTACGAGAACTCTCTGTACACTTTCTTTATAATTTCTCTGCAAATCTAAAACTATTCTAAGGGCGCCTGGGTGGCTCAGTGGGTTGGAGCCTCTGCCTTCGGCTCAGGTCATGATCCCAGGGTCCTGGGATCGAGCCCCACATCGGGCTCTCTGCTCTGTGGGGAGTCTGCTTCCTCCTCTCTCTCTGCCTGCCTCTCTGCCTACTTGTGATCTCTGTCAAATAAATAAATATATATATTTTTAAATGTTATTTAAAAAACAAAGGGGGTGGGGTGCCTGGTGGCTCAGTCATTAAGCACCTGCCTTCAGCTCAGGTCATGATCTCAGAGTCCAGATGGGAGTCCCAGATGGAGCCCAGCATGCTCCCATGCTCTGTGGGGAGTCTGCTTTTCCCTCTGCCCCTCACCCCATTCTCCTGCTCTCTCTCACTCTCTCTCATACATAAATACTTTTTAAAATAAATAAGTAATAAAAAAACAAAGGGGGAAATTAACTGTCAAATGCTGATAATCAAAAAAGAAAAAGACAACCGAGAGCAGTTTCAGTGGATTAATGGAGTCAAAGACAGATTACATCAGGCAGAGGAGTGAACTAAAGCTGAGAATGGGATTGTAAGCGTATGGCTTTTTCCACGAAGTCTGACAAGGAGGGGAAGATCAAATCAGAGCCAGAAGTAGACATCAAGTTAAAGAAAGTAGCTGTTGTTTTGTTTTGTTTTTAAATAAAGGTATAATTCACATACCAAAAATTCACCTTTTAAAGTGTACAATTCAGTGGTTTCCAGTATGTTCAAAAAAATTATATAACCATTACCACTATATACTTCCAGAACATTTTCATTACTTCAAGAAGAAATGGTATAATCAAAGAAGACCTAAATATATGAAATATGTTCATGAATAAGAAAACTTCACATTGTTACGATGTCAATAAAACCGAAGTAATTTACAGATTCAATGCAAAGTCTATCAAAGTCTAACAGCCTTTTTCACAGAAATGGAAAAGCTGATCCTCAAATTCATGTGTAATTGCAAGGAATCCTAAATAGCCAGAACAATCCTGAAAAAGGGTTCACAATTCTCAACTTTGAAACTTATTATAAAACTACAGTAATTAAAATAATGATACATATAGACATAGATCCAGAGAACAGAATGAAAAGCCCAGAAATAAACCTTCACATATGTGGTCAACTGATTTTTGACAAGAGCGCTAAGACCATTCAATGGTCAAAGGACAGTCTTTCAAAAAATGGTAATATTAAAACTAGATATCCTTATTCCAGTTTGACTCTTAAACCATATACAAAAATTAACTCAAAATCGATCAAAGACCTAAACTAAAGAACTAAAACTATAAAATTCTTAGAAGAAAGCTTTGGGGAAAATCTTCAGAATGCCAGATTTGGCAACCATGTCACGGGTATGAAGAAAGAATAGACAAACTGGACTTTAGCAAAATAAAGCACTTTCGCACATCCAAGTGAACTATAAGGAGAGTGAAAAGAAAACCAACTGAACAGAAGAAAATATGTGCAAATCATTTATCTTAGAAGGGATTAATATTCCATATACCTAACAATTCCTAAAACTCAACTCCAAAAATAATTAATCCAATTCAAAAATGGGCATAGGACTTGAGCAGACCTTTCAAAGATACACAAAATGGCCAATAAGCACATAAAAAGATGCTCAACATTACTAGTCATTAGGGAAATACAAATCAAAATTACAGTAAGACACCACCTCACATCTACTAAGATGGCTATAATAAAACAAAAAATAAAATAAGTGCTGGCAAGGATGTGGAGAAATTGGAACCCTTGTGCACTATTGGTAGGAATATAAAATGTTAGAGCTCCTGAAAATCAGAATGGCAATTCCTCAGGGGCACCTGGGTGGCTCAGTGGGTTAAGCCTCTGCCTTCAGCTCAGGTCATGATCTCAGGGTCCTGGGATCGAGCCCCGCATTGGGCTCTCTGTTTAGTGGGGAGCCTGCTACCCACTCTCTCTCTCTTTGCCTATTTGTGATCTCTCTCTCTGTCAAATAAATAAATAAAATCTTAAAAAAAAAAAAAAAGAACGTTAATTCCTCTGAAAAATTAAAAACAGAATTACCATATGACCCAGAAATTCCACTTCTAGGTACATACCCAAAGAGGGTCCCAAAGAGATATTTGTACTCCCATGTTTCTATAAACATTATTCACATTGTTAAGCATGGAAGCAACCCATGTATCCACTGAGGGATGAATGATAAGCAAAACTGGTGTATATATATATACATAACGGAATAGTATTCAGCCTTAAAGGGAAGGAAATTCTGACACACACGACAACATAGACGAACCTTCAGGACATTATGCTGAATGAAATAAGCCAGTCAACAAAAAGACAATTACTATTAAGATTTCCACTTACATGAGGTACCTGAAACAGTCAAAATCATAGAGACAGAAAGTAGAATGGTGGGTGTCTGAGACTAGGGGGAGGGGAGAATGGGGAGTTATTGTTTAACGAGTACAAAATTTGAGTTTCGCAAGATAAAAAGTTTAGGATGTGGATGGGACTAATGGCTACACAACATGAATATACCTAATACCACTGAACTGTACACTTAAAAATGATTAAAGCTGTAAATTTTATGTTATGTGTATTTTACTACAGTGAAAAAACTGGAAAAAGTGAGAAGCATTAAGGCTTGTAGTACCGCATTTACTGTTTCATAACACAGATTTAAATTTTCAGAATAATTCTACAGACATTATTATTAAGCTAGACTTTTTTATACTGAAATACAGACTTCTCTAGCCTTCTCTCCAGGGCATATACCCTTTGAGGGTATATATATCTCTCACAGCTACCTGTATTATAATGACATCTATTTTGTTCCTACCTTTAATAATGAAAAATTTCAAACATATACAAGGGAAGAGAGAAAGGAATAATGAAACCCCATATAGCTATCATACCACAGATAGTTTTGTTTTATCTCTAGTTCCACCCATTTTACTCTTCTTCCCCCAGTGGATTATTTTGAAGCCAATCCCAAACATCGTATCATTTCAACCACAAATATTTCAGTATGTTATCTCTACATACTAAAAGATACTGTTAAAAGATACATACAGCAAGATACAGGCAGAGTCCTACATAAATTATTGTGCTGTTAGGTCAGATTTCTGATACAAGCAATCCTTCAGTAAACCATATATTAGATATAGGAACTTTATATATATTCATTCATTCATACTCTACTTCATTACAAGTTAAACCACTAGGAAGTAAGGCTATCAAGCAAGAAAATCAAGAAAAACTGGTTTGAACAGTTAGTTTCAATCATAAGAGGGTCATTAATCAAAGGTGGTCTTAAGGCCACCTGAGTGGCTCAGTTGTTTAAGCATCTAACTCTTGATTCAGTTTAGGTTATGATCTCAGGGTTGTGAGATCAAGCCCCGAGCTGGGTTCTCCCTTTCCCCTCCTAAGCCTCCCTCTCTTTCACCTGGGCTCTCTCTCTTTAAAAAAAAAAAAAAAAAAAATGGTGGTCTTAGAGACCTCTTAGGAAAGAGATGGAGAAAAGTGACACAAATATCACATACACTCTCAGGAGTGCCTGGGTGGCTCAGTTGGTGAAGTGTCTGCCTTCGGCTCAGGTCATGATCTCAAGGTTCTGAGATTAAGCCCCACGTAGGGCTCCAGGCTCAGCGGGGAGCCTGCTTCTTCCTCCCTCTCTGCCCCTTCCCCTGTTCTTGCTCTCTCTCAAACAAAATCTTAAAAAAAAAAAGCACCACACACAATCTCTCTCCCCTCATTCTCTCCCTCTCTCCCCCCACCTTTCATATGATACAAGTTACTTAGTATATGATAACATAACACAGTCATATTATATAATTATTATACATAAAGTAATACACATAACTGCATATTTTATAAAACTAACTCAATGCAGAAAATTTCTAGTCATCTGTCCTTACCTTTTGTTGGACTGAGATTCTGGTCTATAAATCCTCTCAGTTCTGCATTTGTAGAAGTCAAACCAACCTGAATAAAACAGTTTTTAAAAATTAAAAACAGGATCTTATGTATTAAGTGGTCATTTAATAACCTATTTTACACTTTCTACTGAAGAACCATGTCAAATAATATAGACAGCCACATAAAAATGAATTAACCATACCATCGATACCAGAATTAAAAAGGAAATATTGCTTAAAATGGGGAAAACAAACTGTCCAGATTAAGATGAAAATTAATGAAATAATGTCACTAGTGAACAGAACTGAAATCTACAGATTTTACTGATGGTTTTTTTTTGAAAGCAAGTAATGTGGCAGTCCTGAAGTTGCCAACAAATACACCACAATTCCGCCTTCACGCTGCCCTGAGTTTTTACTGTTCATAATCACTACCTATAATGCTTTTTAACATTATGATATGTAATGGATCAGATAAAGACCATTAATACCACACAGTAAAGGTGAGGTCTACTGGTCTCAAATCCAGCTGCCTGGGCTCATACTCTGGCTCATCAAGACTACTATGTGTGTGGTCATGGTGAAGTCACACAAGTTCTCTACTTCTCAGTCCCTTCAACTGTAAACTGAAGGATGCTAGAAGTGCTTACCAGTTTAGATGCTTACCAGTTTAGGTTATTAGAAAGACTGAGATAGTTCATGTAAAGCATCTAGCACAGTGTATGGCACACAGTGCTCAATCATAGTAACCTTCTTAACTATTAATATGATACCTGCGGATTATCTATAGCAAGTGTGTTTATAAATTCACCTTTAGACAATTTATTTCATTTAATGTGACAGCCACTGGACTTCTTGGAATCACAGAACTAAATACGGTAGTATCATCAGAATTTTAAAAACTTATTACAGAGTTAGGAGGAAAAAAAATTCTCCATTTTTGAAAACTTGACATAAACAAGATTCCAATAAATGATTCTACTATTACTATTATGTTATTGTTTTAATCCATATAGATTTGTCATTTTCAAATATCAGTGCTAACTTGGTACCTCAAACATCCTTTCAAAGTACTAGCACATTAAAAATATTTTAAAGAACACAAAGCTTTATAACTTTGTATCTGTGCACTTAATGTTATTTTTAAACTACCCACTGCATTAGCAACATATATTGTTCAAAGGCACTCATTTGATACTTTACAATTTCATAATGTAAGAGCTAATTATTTCATTATTTAGTAATTCAAATGCACTACTAATAGCTATTTCTTTTTGTCAAGAGGTATATTACCAGAAATATTTCTACATATCATTCACATCATGGAAAAGTAATTCTGATGCAAACCTATCTCTAGCATCTAATACTAAATTTTTATGACAGCAGTTGAGTGGAAGACATCTAAAATGCACCTTCTCAATTCTATGTAATTAATGGTGCAGATACTTATTTCTATCTAGCTTCTTATAAGTATGCTATTAGAAATAAACCCTTTGCAATAAAATTTGTAACAAATTACTACTACATGAATCTCTAGAAATGCTCACAAATATTAATGTTAAGTGTTCGATTTGTAGGGTGCCTGGGTGGCTCAGTTGGTTAAGCGCCTGCCTTCGACTCAGATCATGATCCCAGGATCCTGGGATCAACTCCCACATCAGGCTCCCTGCTCAGTGGGGAGCCTTCTTCTCCCACCCCCTCTGCCTGCTGCTCCCTCTGCTTGTGCTTTCTCTCTCTCTCTCAAATAAATAAATAAAATATTTCTTAAAAAGGTGTTCAATTTGTAAATGCCAAGAGTTTACTGTGGCATCATTAACATGCCTCTCTTGGAAAAAAAAAAAAAACTTTTCTGCTAAAAAAGACAGAACTTTCATTAGTGTTCTACTGTAAAAAGAAAGCAAAGACAGCATTTAACAGTCTATGCTTAATATAATGTGATCATTTAATACACATATTACAATAATTTCAAAAGCATCAGTTTACATCTTTTTGTTATTATACAAAGATAACGGCAAAAACCTCAACTGAAACCACATATTCACAGCAGAGACTTCACAGTAACTGGGTTACTGTTATGTTTAAACACCTGCTCTTAATGGCCAACTTCTGCAGAGTGAAGCAGAGAATGAATCTGGAAACTTTTTAAGCAGCAGTACATCTGCATCTTAAAAACTAACAAATTATATTCTAAAAAGATAAAGGTCAATTGTGAGTCAATCAATACTCCATGCTAATTTTGGTCTAATAGACAAGGGGAGGTATTTGTATTTAGAGATTATATAAATACTACTAAAATTAAAATTTCAAAAATTTATTAATCTCTGCTTTTTCATAAACACTATAAAGACTCAAAGAAGATTATTTGAGAGCAGAAAAAGTTGGCTAGGAAAGGCATTTAAAAATAACTTTTCTTTCCTTATTCTATTTAAGAAGAATATAATAATAATAATGGTTCACAGAACAAAAGTAAAAGCTGAACTCATTTTATGTAAAATTTTTCACCTAATAAGGTCCTGAGAAAAGTTTTCTATCTGGATATTCAAACACTGTGCTGCATACTATAAACAGTCACTAAATGTCTGTAGAATAAAAAATATCCAAGCCCAATTTTCAGGGTTCAAACCTTAATTCCCATTAATAACATTATAATTTCACTAACATTCAACATTTTAAATTGGTGAAACTGAAAGAAAAGATTCAGTGTGAGATGATCTGTACACTGAGTTCAGCTCTGCCATCCACAAGCAAGGTGATCTTAGCAGTCACTGCAAATGGAGATGACAACACCTATGCACATGACAAACTCAGAGAGCTCCTTAGATCAAATTAAATAATTACGTGAATATGATTTAGTGACAAAGCAATACCCACATGCGGGTTGTTATTCAGACGGTAATGACTTTAACTCTTCAACACTAACACAGACAATTCACAAAAGAGAGATGCAACTGAACACACAGAACACCAATGTGACCCAACTAGCTACTAGAGGGCGCCTGGGTGGCTCAGTTGGTTGGGCCACTGCCTTCGGCTCAGGTCATGATCCTGGAGATCTGGGATCGAGTGCTGCATCTGGCTCACTGTTCAGCCGGGTCTGCTTCTCCTTCTCCTACTGACTTCTCTCCTTGCATTTTCTCTCTCTCTCTCTCTCAAATAAATAAATAAAATCTTTAAAAAAAATATTAACTAGTAACTAGTGAAATTAATAAACTCCATACCATTTTTTTGCTGATTACATTGGCAAGACTAAAAAGAAAATAAAGGGAAATGGCACTCTCATACACCACTGATGAATATATAAATGAGTGCAACCTTTCTGAAATGCAATTTAGCAACATGAAACAAAAGCCCCCCAAAGCACACACCCTTCAGCTTAGCAATTTCCTAAGACTTTGCTTTATGGAAATAATCCAATGAGTAAGTAAAAATAAACAAAAAGCTAAAAAGAAAAGGAAAAAAAGAAAAAAGTGGAATTTACTTAATGGCCAATATCAGGAAACTGATGTAAGTTCATACAGCAGATAACATAAAACAGTCATTTAAAATGATGTTGCAGAGATATTAAGAAAAGACATTTATCATCAAGATTAAACTAAATAATGGTTACAAAACAGTATGACCTCATTTTTATTCAAAATATTTGTACACATTTTGTTATACACACACACACACACACACACACACACACACACACACACACACGCATTTGTATATATATCAAATGTCTTCCTAGGCAAAATTCTGCTTATAGTCTCTAGGCTAGTTTCTTTACCTGTATTCTCTAATTTTTCTGTAATGAGTATCATGGCTTACATATTATTTAAAAGATTCTTTGATGAGGCAAAAAATACACATCATATTACCTTTCAAATCCTTTATTGTATACTGAATAAGCTTAAGTCAGGACACACCTGCATTTGTGGTCATGAAGAGTATCAGTGAATATTAGATACAATTTAACAACAATTTTTTTTTAAAGATTTAATTTATTTATTTAACAGAGAGAGAGATTACAAGTAGGATTACAAGTAGGCAGAGCAGCAGGCAGAGAGGGGAGGAAGCAGACTCCCTGCCGAGCAGAGAGCCCAATGCGGGGCTCGATCCCAGGACCCTGAGACCATGACCTGAGCCAAAGGCAGAGGCTTAACCCACTGAGCCACCCAGGTGCCCCATTTAACAACAATTTTATCCCAGAAACAATGAATATATTGCCAGCTCTACAGACTTTCCTTTTTGCAAAACGATCCATCCCACAATCCACGTAGTTCCAGTATGACTGTTAATCTTTGAGCCTCAACTGTTGCCATGTCAGCAGAAGTAGACCCATGACTCAGACCTGACCCACTTCTTTCTCCACGTTGGCTTGTCTAAGCATCTGGATCAAGCAGGGTCAACCAAAAGAACTTGAAATGTAAGCGCTAAAAAGGAAAAGTTTCTTGTTTTCTGAAGTAAGAATTATAAAGACAACATACAGTATTCTGCCATCATATAGAGCCAAGAGATGGAAAAAGGAAGACAGATCCCTGACATCATCATTTGGTTCTCCTGTAACCAGATGTGTTTGAAGCCAGAGTACCACAGACTTTCCAGTTGTGTGAATCAATACATTCCATGTTTTGCCTTAAGCTGTTTTAAGTAGGGTTTCTATCATTTGCAACCATGAGACCTACTATGGCATGGATTAGACAAAAATAACTCCTCACAAAAAACTGTTCTCATAAGAGATATGTAAAATGAGAAGCAGAAAATAAGGATGTAAATATCTGAATATGTGTTTAATGATAGCTCTGTAAGACCTGGGCAATCTCTTCCACGTCTAAGAGTTACTTACTTCTCGGTGGCATGAGACACAATGGATCATTCCCTCCTCCTTAAAACACTTTCTTCACTTGGCTTCCAGATCATCAGGATAACACTACTTCCTTCCTTTCTGGTCATTCTTTGAGTCTCCTTTCCTGCTTCTCCTCCTCCCCAGATGCTGGAGAAACCCTGTGCTCAGACCTTGGGTCCTCAGGTATACTCTATCCATTCACATTCTATATAATCTCATGTAGTACCACTACTTGAAAATAATTTAATATGAAATGACTCCAAATGTCTGTATCCAATCCCAACCATTTCTCTGAGCTCCAGAGTCATTTATCAAGCTACCTAGCCAATATCTCCACCTGGTCATTTTTAGGTCTACCAACTTTAATAAGTTCAAAATGACTGTTGAGTTTGACACAAAATCTCACAGTTCCCCCAAGAGTTTTTCTTCTTGTTAAACAGCATAACTATTTATCCAGTTACACAAGCCAAATACTGAGAAGTCTTTTTTTAAATTTTCTCTGCCCCCATTCCTTATTACTCAATAACTCCTAACAGCTGTCCCTTCAACTACATCCTAGATCCAGCCACATTTCCCCATCTCCAATATCACTACCCCAGGCCAAATCACAATAGTTTGTTGTCTGAACTACTGAAGTAAGTGCCAAGTCTCTTGCTTCTACTATGCCTCTCTTCCATCTATTCACTCAGCAATCAGGACAAACTTTCTAAAATAGTAAGTCCAGTCACAGCTGACCAGCAAATCTCCAATGGCTTCTTAGTGACGTTTTATTTATTTATTTATTTATTTATTTATTTATTTATTTTAAAGATTTTATTTATTTATTTGACAGAGAGAGAGATCACAAGTAGGCAGAGAGTCAGGCAGAGAGAGAGAGAGAGAGAAGCAGGCTCCCCGCTGAGCAAAGAGCCCGATGCAGGGCTTGATCCCAGGACACCGAGATCATGACCTGAGCCGAAGGCAGCGGCTTAATCCACTGAGCCACCCAGGCGCCCCTCTTACTGATGTTTTAAATACACCCCTATCACCCAGAATTTGAGGCTCCACACGATCTGGCTCCTGCTTTCTTTCTGACTTCATCTACCACTTTTCCTTGCTTACTCTGTTCCACTTATAAACTGGTCATCTGGCTGTTCCTTGAACAACTGTACATTTTCCTGCCTCTACCTGGAATGTTCTTTTCCCAGGTACTCATAAGGCTGGCTTCCTCTTCTTGGATTGAGACTCAAGAACACTTCTATCTAAACATCATTTCCTTAAAGAGAATTCTTCTGAAAACTTAAGTTGAAAAACTCTCTCTCACTGCCATCATTCTCTCTCTCCTTCTCTGGCTTTACTTTTCATAAGATTTATCATTATCTGACATTAGGTATGTATTTATTGTCTTCTCTCACTACAGACACTATAAGCCACAGGAAGGCAGGAGCCTAGAACAATATCAGGTAAATATACAGGGGGCGGGGAAGAGAATGAATTACTCATGGCACTGTGAAATAGTATAATCCTTTCAGTAGGTATCTTGATAAAACATATTAAAAGCCACTAAAATGTTCTTCTCTGTTGCAGAATGGCTAGTGAACTTGACTGGTTATTTTCAGACAGCCTATTTCAATTCTTTCCCACATGCGTCAGCTCAGCCCAATCTGAGGCTTGACCTCTTCATGTCCCTAACTCTAAGATATCAAGAGGATCAGCTCATCCCTCTCCCCCTAGGTTGCCATAGCAGAAAGAGAAACATGTTGCTCACTGTGTGATTTCTTCCAAATATACAAACAAAATAATGGGAGTATAATTACCACTCGTTCAAATGCTTTATGTTACTTTAGGGAAAATACTTTGAATATAGCAAATTGTACAAATGACTAGAAAGATGATATTTGATGCAAGGTAGATTTTAATCCAAAATATGCTTGCTATCTGAATGTTAACCCGCTTGTAGTTCAAGATAATTTTTACTTCCCTTTCTTCCTAAGGAGAAAAAAATCAAGATAATATTCTGCAAGAAAATTCCCAATACACAGACTAAAACTTTGCTTTTTCTTTTCCCCAAACAACACGTTAACAAATATACATATAACAACCTTAGATTAAGGCAGAGTACTCCTGATAATTTATCCTAACAAAATAATTTAATTAAGTGATAATGAAACAAAATCTGTATCTGCTTATAGCTGCTTAGAGCATGTCAAAAGCAAGGTTAATAATAGGAAAATAGAGATTAATCATGAAGGATTTTGTTTTTCATGTTATTCTTTAGATGTATAATGGGCAGTATTTGGAACTATCTGTCTGGCTGACAAGGAGACCTTTTCACACAATAGAATGCTCACTTCTCCTAGTCATAATTAGGTTAAACCACTAGTAGATATTGCACATGAGCAGTAGCAGAGGTCCACCCCAAGGAGTCTGAAATTGGAGCTGACATGGGCAGACAGATCTGTCAAGTTGTCTTCATCCTTTCCTTGGCACCTCTCTTTCTCTGAACAGGCTGGTTCTGTGACACATATATTGAGAGGCTGCCTAGAGAACTAAGGAGCATGATTCGCAGAGAGGGACAGAGTATAAAGCAGATGCACACAGACAAGCAGAGATAATATATGGAGACTAAACACTGCTTCAATTTCTGGTACATTTCAAATTTTTGCACCCAGATCTTTCTGATGGCCCACTAAATTCTTACTCTTAAAGTCTCTGAGACATTCCTGTATCTTTATAATAAATTCCCTTTTTAAAGTAGCAAAGCTGATTTCTGTTATGTACAATCAGAGATTCCGACATCATAATGAGGGAACAGTAAAGCAATTATAAGTTATTTCCCTATATGTTGCAATATTTATTTTCTGGCATAGTCCATCACAGAACTGGAACAAAATCTACTGACACAGTCAGACAATAAGAAAATAACCTGAAAGGAAGCTGACTCAGAAACAGAAGCCTTGAGCAGAGGAAAGAAACTGAATAGCTTCTCCAAAACATCGAAAATCTAATGTCTCCTCAGGAATCATTTCATGGAGGACAGCTAAACCATATCTCAGTGTACATACTTCCTTGAGTAAGTCCACAAAAAAAAAAAAAAAAAATTGGGCCAAAGAAAACTGATTTTCTCAATAAGGCTAGTAAATCTCCAGCAAGTACCAAAACAAAGATTTATACAGTACCAAAAAAGGAGAGAGGTGGGGAACTTTCTAGAGAGAGAAATTTTGCAGCTGTTGAGGAGGTACAACTTGGCAGCAATTTACAAGAATGCTACTGTGCCCACTCAAGGGCTATATTCAACAGCATTGAAGTTCACTATCATATTTTGCATAAACAAAGACAATTATAAACTAATGCCAGTAAATTGAACTTGAGTAATTAGAATAGTGAAGAAAAATGTGCATAGGAAAAAGTACAACTCATTTTAAAAATACTTACACTTAAAAATTTACAGTACTTACATTTTTTGCCGTCATGTCAAATTGTATTCGATTTAAAATTCTGTAAAGCCATTAAAAAAAAACCAACAACTTCGTCTTCAATAATTCTTTAAAAGAACATCCTGTTAAAGGGGGAAAAAAGAGGGAATAGTAATGTAATAATAATAATAGGCAACGTTTATGTCATATTAACCATGTGACATGCATTGTTAAGTGGATTATTTAAATTAATCCTCGCAAAAACACTCTGAGATATGTACCATTTTAATCCTCATTTTCCAAATAAAAATTGGGGCTTACAGAGTTTAAATATCCCACCAAATCAACTCAGCTAACAAGTGATAAAACCTGGGCTCTGAAATATCATACTATGTTCCTTTAGATAACACACTGAAAGAAACACCAGGGCTTCTTGAAGAAATAGCCAGTTCCAGGGTTGGGGAAAGAGATGTGCAAGATGAGACTAGAACATTTTATTGTATCTACATTAAGGAAGAGCTCAAAAAAATGATGGAGACATATTAAAAGTATACAGGAGTCAGCTTAAAGGGCCTACAACTGCACAATTTGTAACAAGTGGGCACCAAAGTATACACTGATAATAACAGATTATAATAGACTATAAACTCTTTGAATAAAATAACAATCCAGGACTTCATACTGATAGAAACAAATAATGAGGAAGAAGGGAAAGCTCTTCTCTGCAATTATTATACCAAATAGTAAATATAAATGAATGATGGAATGAGAAAACCACCAATTTGTAAACATCATAATAATACCTGATTAGACAAGGATTATCATAGATACTAAAACTTTAGTGGGTGAAAAGTTGTTAAGAAACAGGATATTTACATAGTCTTGAAATATCACCCCACAAAATACTTATTCATTCAAATTTTACAGTGAAGAAACCTGGCCCCACGTAGCTAAAGTGATCAAACCTACCAAATGACCACTAACAATGACACAAACTAACATGCATCTCCACAAGTGCACTGAGATGGATAGAATACCACTTCTGAGATACTTCTACCCAAAGCATAATCTAATTCATGAGGAAATAGCAGAGATATTTAAATTGAGGGGCATTCTATAAAATAATGAACTGAACTTCTTAAAAATTTTTGTGTCATGAGAAAAAAGGAACCTAACAACCATTCCAGGTTTAAAAAGACAAAAGTCACATAAAAATTAAACTCAACACAGGATCCTCAACTGGGACTCTGGACCAGAGAATATAACTCTTGTGAAGACCATTATCATGGCAAATGGAAAAACGGAAATATGGTCCACAGACTAGATAATAGTATTATTTCAGCATTTCATTTCCTGCATTGATCAGTTGTGGGTTTTTTAAGTGAGTGTTCCTGTTTTTAGAAAAAGTACACCAAAATATTTAGAAGTGAAGAGGTATAATAATAGCAATGTACTTTCGAATGATGAAAAAATATATAATCTGTATATAGAAAGTGGGAATGAGGGGCGCCTGGGTGGCTTAGTGCGTTAAAGCCTCTGCCTTAAGCTCGGGTCATGATCCCAGAATCCTGGAATCGAGCCCCGCATTGGGCTCTCTGCTCAGCAGGGAGCCTGCTTCCCCTCCTCTCTGCCTGCCTCTGTCTACTTGTGATCTCCGTCAAATAAATAAACAAAATCTTAAAAAAAAAAAAAAAAAGAAGAAGAAGAAAGTGGGAATGATAAACCAAGTATGGCAAAATGTCAACAATTGGATAATCTGGGTAAAGGGTATTCAGGAGTTCTATGTCCTATTTTTGCAACTTTTTCTTATTTTACATTGTTTCAAAATTAAAGATTTAATAAGGCATTTAAGGGGAAGGAAAAAATAAAACTTAATTTTGAAAAGATCATAAACAATATGGCTTCAAGAAATGGAGGCTCCAACTGTCTGCCTCATATACTAGAATCCGAATCTACAAGTAAAACTTTGTGGATGGATGGGGCACCTAGGTGGCTCAGTGGGTTAGGCCGCTGCCTTCGGCTCGGGTCATGATCCCAGGGTCCTGGGATCGAGTCCCACATCGGGCTCTCTGCTCAGCAGGGAGCCTGCTTCTCTCTCTCTCTCTCTCTCTCTCTCTCTCTCTGCCTACTTGTGATCTCTGTCAAATAAATAAATGAATAAAATCTTAAAAAAAAACTTTGTGGATGGAAAAAAAGGCATTTTTACTTTTTAATAAAACACCAAATTTACAAATTTTCAGGGTGCCTGGGTGGTTCAGTCAGTTAAGCATCGGACTTCAGTTCAGATCATGATCTCAATGTCATGTGATGGAGCCCTGAGTTGGGCTCCCCCCTCAACAGGGAGTCTGCCCCTCTCCCTCTGCCCACCCCCCAAAGCTCATGTAGGCACTTGTGCTCTCTCTCTCTCAAAAACAAAAAAATCTTAAAAAAAAAAAAAAAACCCAAACCCAATAAATTTACAATATTTCAATGATAAAACATAAATTTAAAAATCCCAAGTAAGACCTGGACTACTACTATGATTTTCACTGCCCCATGATAGCTGTAGATTTGTTCACAATGTCTCTCATGATCTAATATGAAAATTAAGTTCCTATGCTAGAAATGTTTCACATTCATCAAGTATTTGTTATTTTCTCTTCAGTATTAAAAAATCAGATAAATAATAAAGCACAAGTTCCTGACATCCCATTCACTAAACTACCTAACAGAGGCAATATTATACAGATTATGGTCTCTGACCACAATACAACTAAGTTAGGAATCAGCCATTTTAAATAAAGAGTTAAAAATCATATATTTAAAAAATAAAACTATATTATTGCTCAAACAACCCATGAGTTAAAGAAATCTGAAATATTTAGAACTGAATGACAATGAAAATAGCAGTAAAGAATAACAGAATATTAAGAACGGAATGATAGTGAAAATAATAAAACTGGCTGGCTTAGTCGGAAGACAATGCACAACGCTTGATCGCAGGGATTATGATTTTGAGTCCAATGTTGGGTGTAGAGATTACTCAAAAATAAGTAACAAATAAACTTTAAAAAAGGATAGAAAATAATAAAACTTGCAAAGTGCAGGTGAAGTAGTACTTAGAAGTAAATTTATATTTCTCTTCATGATGCAATCAACTTAAAAGCTTAAAAAAGATCAGTGGGAACTCTAAGATACAAGAGAGGAACAAGAATTGATTATTTAAATAGAAAAAAAATAAAATAACAGTTGATTCTAAGTGTCCTAATTGAAGCAGGCATCCAATAAATAAAGCAACAGTGTTAGCAGAGTGAAAAAAGCATGGATTTTTAAAGTTAGGCTCAATCTCAGCTTTGACACTTATTAGCTGTGTGACCCTGAACAAGTGACTCAACCACTTTGAGTTTCAGTGTCCTCATCTGAAAAAAAGGTATACTGAGTTTTTCAACCTTGTTAGCAGTAAATTACATACAATCTGCTTAAATGAAAATCTTCAGATCCAAGTCAATGTGACAAATGCCCTACAGTTCATACATAAACACCAAACACTCCTGAACACAAAAAATTCAATTTTAGATATTTCTAAGAGTACCTTCTGACCTATGAAAATGTAGTTCTAACAAAAAACAATGAAGTGTTTTCCATCAAAGTCCCTGTCAAATTTTAACCCGCTGAGCCACCCAGGCACCCGAGTCCCTGTCAAATTTTAGAAACCTACTGTATCTAAGGCAGATATGGTTTGCCTAGCCAGTATCTTATCCTCTTCTTCCTTAGGAGAAGTTGAAGGTGGCAATGTGCTCAACTTAAAAAAAAAAGTACTACATTCTCAGTCTCTCTTTCAGATGTACTGACCATAGGACATAATTCTAGTCAATGAAATATAAGCAGACATCATTGGGCTGGTGTACCAGATTCAGCTAGTAAATGCCCTTTTTCCCTTCTCCCCATTTCTTCACTCCAAAATATAGTTGTTATGGTTAAAGTGGCTTGTCTCCATACCTCTGCTTCATTACAATATTCAGTATTCAATACAGTATTCTATCTCCTAATGGCTGGGCTCCCAGGTGACACTGATATTTACCCAAATTAAAAAAAAAAAAAGAAGAAATTAACAGACTGTTACTATTTCAGCACACAATAGCAAGTGGTGACCAATAAAATACTGCTTAGGCACATTAATGAGCTACATTAACAAACTTAATTTTGCTTAGTATTCTTTGTATCCTTTCACCAGAGCAAAGTACAAATTAAGAACCTCTAAATGTTACCTAAATGATAAATGCTTGAAATGATAAAATGTTTGACATGGATTTCTTGAGTAAATTTTACTGGAACATCTCTGTGCCTCGATTTCTCCCATCTGCAAAAATAGTAACAAATAGTACATCTATTTGAGTCAAAACATAAAAAATTATTAGGACACTGCCTAGCAGAGTATAAGCCCACAGTGTTAGGGTTTAAAAAAGCAGTTTGCTGTTTTTCATGACAAATTAAGGTTTCTTCTTCCAAAATAAGTAATACTTAACTCACATGTAGTAGAAGTAAAAAAATACCACACTATAAATCTAGTTTTAAAAGGAAATAAATTGTTTAATTATGGTTAGAAAAACTTTTCTAAAATTAACAGAAGTAAGCAATAACTTTAGTCATTAATTTATTTATCCAGCAAGCACTGAACACCCACTATGTACAAGGCATTCATCTAGGCACTGAAGACATCCTAGCAGATCAGAGAAACAGCAAGCATAAACTTTCAAAGATAATTTAAATTATGTAAAATTACTGGGGCACCTGGATAGCTCAGTTGGTTAAGTGCCTGCCTTAGGCCCAAGGTCATGATCTGGAGACCCTAGATTGAGCCCCACTTCGTCAGACTCCCTGCTCAACAAGGAGTCTGCTTCTTCCTCTGCCCCTACCCTGTTACTGGTTCCTCTCTCTCTCAAATAAATAAAAATCTTTTTAAAAAATTATGTAAAAATACATTAAGATAAATGTTATAAAAAGAAATGGGATTATGACAGAGATCTGCCTCATTCAATTAAAAATGAAGTACTGGGGGGACGCCTGGGTGGCTCAGTTGGTTGGACGACTGCCTTCAGCTCGGGTCATGATCCTGGAGTCCCGGGATCGAG